CATTTAATAGCGCAAAGCAGGCTCTACAACATGGAATGTGGAAATGCCACAATTTTGATTCAAACGAACTTTGAAACTATATACGCTCGCTCACGCATACACATTCCATATAAAAGTTTAGATACACAGACACGGAGCTGTAATCTTTCTTCTGGAAAACAAAACTTTTCGTGGTTTACCGATGGGTACTGGACCATTTCTACATAGATAACTGTATGGTTTTAAAGGTACAACCGCACATTTTTTGCCTCTAAGGCCCCGGGCAGACTTGACGCGATTTGATCGTCGCGCTGAATCGCGACGAGACAACTGTTACAACATCATTCCATGCCGATCAACTTGCATTTCGGTTGTGATACTTTTCCAGCCCGAAATATTGAATGTGAAATGAAAATGAATGGAAATGTCGGCGATTGAGTCGCGACGATCAAGTCGCGTGAAGTCTGCCCGGGACTTAACAAAGGAAGGATACCAGATTGCAGTGGCGAGCGAAACATATGCATAACATTAGATGAGTATTGATGAGCTATCCCAAATCTACATTTCCTATCTGCTACGAGCTTCTCTAGAAGAAGCTATGGGGTTTGAATGTCCAAATTTAGCAAACATTCAGTGCCACGTCTACAAGAATTGCATGTTCAAAGACGCTTACTCATGTGTACGGTGTATGTATGCATTTGTTGTAGTCAGTGTACTCAAGATTATGCAAACTGATCACTCCTAAGCCAATCCTTGAAGCGCATTGTGCATCAAAGTCCCAACAATCTCACATCTTTAAACATCCATACTTCTTCTGAAAAAGCTCGTAGCAGATAGGAAAGGCAGATTTGGAACCAGCTCATCAAGACGCATCTAATAATATGCATATCATTTCGGTTCGCCACTGCGACCTGGTATCCTTCCCTTGTAAGATACTTGTTGTAAAAAGCTGAAACTTCACGGTATACGGTTACAATCAAAGGGTTATAGTGTACACTAGCTGGCTTGCCCGGCTCCGCCGGGCCTGCCAGCTAGACCCGTGTACGTATGTTCCGAATAGAAATTTTTATTTCTGAACCGATTGGGACCGAACTTTGCACACATACACTTCGGGGCAGGGAGCGTGTCACAGCCCACTTTTCGTTATCGATCGATGTCGATTTTACCGATTTTTTGCAAAATTTAAGCTAGGGGGCTAGGATTTTGCACAGGGGGGTAATCGAGCATGCTGATCACCCCCTTCGGGGTGATCAGCATGCTCGATTACCCCCCTCTGCCAAATCCCAGCCCTCTAGCTCGAATTTTGCAAAAAATCAATAAAATCGATATCGATCGATAACGAAAAGTAGCCTATGACACGCTCCCTGCCCCGAGGTATATGTGTGCCAAGTTTGGTCCCGATCGGTTCAGAAATAAAAATTTCTATTCCGCACATACGTACAGACATACAGACAGACAGACAGACATTCAGCTTTATATATAAGATTTAACTATGTGAACAGCACAGCATCTCTATCTGGGATTTTGAACGAGATAAAAAATGCTTCAATATTTCATTATCGCTATAATGTATCATTCAAAAGGGGATGTCAATAAGTGGCATTTGAGCAAACACAAGAAATTTGATCCGTAGTTTAATAGCAGAGTGGAAGAAATTAAGAAATACCTAAAAATGTATTGGAATGTTTGATGTTGCAGATGTCCAATGGGATTTCCCTTTCGACGAATACTCCTCTACCCTTATGATGAGACATCGTTTCCAAAAAGTACAGATGAGCAAACAGTTAGATGAGAATCTGTAGACGAAATATATATGACGATATAAGCATATGAAAGATCCTTCTATACACTTAATAAAAGTTTCAGGAACTATTTTGATAAGATCGTTAGTCATAGGCTAGCTTTGCAACAAAATGTTTCATTTGATTCAAAGAAGGGTAAACAATATTTCAGAGAAGATTTATTTGCCACATTCAAGCTTGCAAGTTTTCTTCCATGTAGGTTTCTTCAAATTCTGTAAAACCCAAACTCAGAACAAAAACGATAAGCTATCACTAACCGAGCTTATGGGAAGAGGACACTCGGTGGTTGTGGTCTTTCGATATGTGACGCATGTCACGACATCCGCCCAATCTCAAAGCCGTATTCGCTATCTGCAGAACGATATTTCGGGAGAACCGTATTTCCCCTCATCTGACGTGTCTGCACAAGAGTACGAGTGATTTCTTTAGATTTTTAAAGGTTTCGAATGGTCTAGGTGGTTAGGGCTGTCGAGTACTGCACAATGGATTCCAGTTTAATCTCGGTCGGTTGAAATATCTTTGTGTCAGCGCTTTTACAAGGGCTAATCTTTCTCGGAAAAGCGTTCTGCAGCAAACGAAGATAGTTTCGAGAACAGCGTTTGAAGGCATTTTGATGTATAACATATTCTAAAAGGCTACTGCCACCAGTTATCTTTCCCTTGTTAGACAAGAACGGTCAATTTAAACACTCCAAAACATACCATAAGAATGAAAGTCTATGGGATAAACAAATTAGAGAACAGGACTAAGCCTATATATTCTCTACGAACCTGTTAAAGCATCCTACTTCATAGTCAAAGAGTCGATCAAATGCGCTAATGTACTACACCTTTTACAGAAATGCTTCGATTCTTTATAATGCTTTCAGGGGGTCAGCACTTGCCGCTTTAGTGCTTTGACCCTCCAATAACTTTGCTACAAATTTGTTGACTCCAGATGGGAAAGGGCTTAGTTCCCAAGAAGTGTACTCAAGACCATGCAAACTACTGATCACTCCAAAGCCAATTTTTAGAGCGCATTACGCATCAAAATCCCAACAATCTCACGTCTTTAAACATCCATAGCTTCTTCTGGAAAAGCTCGTAGCAGATAAAAAAGACAGATTTGGAATCAGCTTATCAAGACGCATATAATTATATGCATATCATTTCGGTTCGTCGCTGCGACCTGGTATTCTTCCCTTGTAAGATACTTGCTGTAAAAAGCTAAAACTTCACGGTATACAGTTACAATCAAAGGGTTGTAGTGTACATTTAATTATGTGAACAGCACAGCATTCGTTTGGATAAAGCATGACATTGTCGTTTTCTCAGTTTCTATGCGAGGAATTACAGCAGCGGTATTTACGTATATCTGATGCAGAATGTTATGATGTGGACACCATATGCCTGACCAAATTGGAGATCCCCAGAAGCGTTTTGAACGGAGATCTAATGGATACGAATTTTTTCAAGAAGTGCCTCAAACTTCAAGTAGATCGCACTTGTTGCATCTACTAAAAAAGGATAACAAAGTGGTGTTGTTTGAGCGCTATAGTGAAATTTTTGTGCAGAAAAAGAAATAGATGTATCAAGTACCTGAGGAAGAGAAGATTCGGTATCACATTTGATATTAATGGATCTGCAATCCTGGTTATGTGGGCTAATTGTAATATGCAAGGCTGGTTGATAAACAGGAAGCGAGGGCGTCAATGACGCTTCCATCCAAAGGTCAGGCTCACTTTGAAATTGTGCGGATAATTGCGGACAAACATAGAATTCACTTCGATGACGAACAATGTTGTAATGACGCAGTGATCATAATAAACTAAGATTGCGTAATGAACCTCATTGGCTTAACAAAGAGTCCAATCACAGCAAGAAGTATAAATAGCACATGCGGAGATGGAACTTCAGCAAAGAAATGAGACTTGTCTGTATAATTCTAAGTGTAAGTTGTTTCCAGATTTTCTACATCTACTAAAACCAAATTCTAGATAGCGGCAGTTGCGAAGGCTGGTTTTTTGGAGACGAATATCACTGGAAAGGATAATTTGATGACTAAATATTAGGTCGTTCCGAAAGTAATGTCGCTTTTTTCAAATGAACGCCACATTTCGTGGAATCAAGAATTTCAAGAGCTCTTGGGATCAGTCGATGCAGAATTTCATCCTCTTTCTAATGATTGTAATCCCATTGCATAATATGCAATGAGCTCTCAAAAAATTACTAAAACCTGCGACTTATGCTTTTTGTCATGGTCAAGTTCGGCTATTTTTCTATATTTTCGTACTGATTCCCCGAAGATGTGCAAGTCACAAATAAATAGAGCAAACCCTATAGGACACAAAACAATTTTTTTCTTCTTCCTTAGTTTGCTTCTTGGAGTTTGTAGAACCAATTTTTCAGTGCTATCAAATTCCATATTTGGTCAACTCAGACCTCACAGAACAACAATCGGCAAGCAACTCGAGTGTCATAGATGCAGCTTTTTCTCCTCTTTCTACCAGTTGTTTTTGGTTTCCGATTCACCAAGTTTTCCGGGATGAAATCGTCATAATTCAGGTTTTCTAGGGCGCCCCAGGCTGTACCCCAAATTCCCGAAAGTTGCTAATCTGAAGCGGTAAATGCTCATATGCTTTGTAAAAATAGTGTTAAACCATAATCCACCTTTGTAAGTTTCAGAATCCGAAAGTTTATTGGTGTTTGATGCATATGTGTTTGAGACAAGCCTGCAAAAATTCGGTGACTTTATTGAAAAATCTCTACAAAAATTATACGAGATACGGAGAGCAGCAAAAAACAGCACCGTCTCCTATAGGGTTTGCTTTATCCAACCATTACTTGGACTCCTTCCGGGAGTTATTACAAAAAATTAGAAAAATTCTGAAACTTGATCTTCCCAAAAAGCATGGGTTGGAGATTTTAGTGATTTTTCAAAAGCTTATCGAGCATTCTGCAGTGGAATTATAGCCATTGGAAAGAGGATGAAATTCTGCATCGACTGATTCCAAGAGCTCTTGAAAATCTTGATTCCACGAAATGTGGCGTTCATTTGAAAAAAGCGACATTACTTTCGGAACGACCTAATATATGAGGAATTATCTCAAGGAAAAGTATAATGGAACTAAACTAAAAATTGTTAGTTTTTACTTGATCGGGCAAATATTTCCGTGACCTAGCGTGAAATGGATTCTTGAAAAGATGTAATTTTCAGTGCTACAATGACTTTTTGAAGAAGATGGCCAAATTCCAAGAAATTGAGAAAAACAACGAATGGCAGGCGTATCTGCCATATGGGATTCACATACAGTTCCAAGTCTCAAAGTAGTTATTTTCACTGATTTGCTCTTGCATCAGAAGTGTGATTGCAGGGATTATCGAGATTATCTTGAGGCGGCGCAAGAGCTCAAGAGAATATTCGACAAGAAGGTAGATGCGAAGGTAAGCGTAAAGCTTCTAATAAATTTGCTAGAGTAAGATGAAGAGTACCATGAAATCTTGAATGGCAATTAAAACTTAAAAGCTAGGAAAAAGTGAGTTTTTAATGTAAATGACACTAATCGACTTCAATCTTACTCTTAATTTTATAACACTCTCGCTCTCCGTACTAAACGGCAAGATTTAGTTTCGCTGATAAAAAAATTTGCTATAAGATGCCGTACTTCTCCAAAATCATATTCTTTCTCTGAAAAGGTTCTCTTTGGACTTAATGTATGCATTTAGGTGAAAAATGCATTGGCGAACAAAAAGTACAAACCCAAAACTCTTGGTGTTGGATGTGGTGCACACTTGAAAACCAAGCTTCCGACTTGCTACATGTATCTCGGCATCAAAGCCGACACTTGTTCTATTAAAATATAGGATCAGCTTGAAACATAATTTGCCCTATGTAGAGGAGTCGAAGTACAGCAATCATTTTCACATAAAAAAATTTTTTTAACTCTTATAAACTTGTTCTTTTATAAATAAAATCAAAATAAATATATCGGCTGTTTAAGTGATTCACAGTGTGATATGCATCGTGAGGTCGACGCGACGGCTGTTAGACAATATTGAAAAATGAAAAGCAGGCATGCTTGGCGAATTACAAAGTTGATCCGTACTTTGACAGACGAAGAGCTGGTGCCACTCAAACTCAGCTTTACTATCAGTGTAAAATTCACAAAATATGTAGTTGTCCTGTTTCTTCCTTGAATGCAGCTTGGGTTACGTACGATAGGGCAAAGCAAGATATAAAGATGGTCATAAAGCTTCCATCTAACAAGGAGTGCATGTTTAGTCGAAGGAGCCTTTTTAGATGTGATGTATACCATATTGAAGGACATAAAATGCTGATTCCAAATCTGCCTTCATTATCTGCAGAACATTTATGGGTGAGGTGTTATGAGCGCTTATTCAGGCAAGGAATTGAATGCGCAAGTAGGCAAAAAAAGGCGTAATACTTTTTATAGTCCTTCAATAAAAAGTGATAATCAGGGTCAAGCGTGGGATGTGTGGCATGCCACACCTGGGGTCGTATTGAGGAATCAGGGAGGGGGGAGGGGTCGTTATCAAGGCGCTGTTCGGATAACATGATTTTCGTTAACAATGTCAAATAGACCTGTCAGCAAAATACTAGCACATTGATGTTTGGCCCATTATCGCATGCCTACAGTAAGGATAATTAAAGATCTATAAAGCATAAGAGCATCGTTTTGTGCTTAGCAAGTTAATTAGCCCTTATGGTCCATAATTCAGCGAAATCTGAAGTTTCCAAATGCAGGGTCACTTAAGTGAGATGATCGTTTTCAAACATGTTACTTTGTTTCAAAGGTAAGTTAACTACTTCTTTTTACTACTCAATACAAAGAACTACTATTTCTTTGCTCACATTAGGAATCCTACTCTAAATGACCTCCAAATTAAGGATTTAACACATTGACGACAGCTTGACACACATGGTGTTTCAAGCAATGACTACCGTGTGGGACCGCTTGGAGGGCGTGCAAGAGTTCCTAGCACCTTTTCTCGCACCAACTTCGCACCAGCATTCGCACCCAGGAGGGTTATAGCACCTCCGGATCTCAGGGGTCAGGACCCGCCCATTGCTCCTCCCATTTACTGATCTCATTATGATGCGTGCAAGCAGCGAGAACATAGATTTAAGTATTAAGATAATAAGAGAAAAAATGGAGAAAAAACGGAACATAGTTACATTCTTTTTAATGAGGCGGCTTGAAAACTTCTGCTATGCCGTCCTTTAAAAGCATATGAATTACTTTAAGAAGAGAAAAATAGCAGGGAATTTTTTGAATGGAAAATTCGGTTATTCGAAATACTAGAGGATCTGGTCGATCAATTGCACATTACTGGTCATCTGATTAAAGTAAACTATCCAAAAAAAGAGTAAAACAAAACTCGAAATTCAGTTGCAATCGTTTATGGATTCTAAACCTTTGAAACCTAGAAATTTTTTTATGTTTATCGATTCTATTATCCTCATATACAATGCAGCATGTCTTGCAGTGCGTGTATACAATTTAGAATGAGGGCACCTAGAGGGAGGAGTGATGGGCGGAGCCGCCCTTTGGCCCCGAAAAGGTGTGATGTCCTTCAAGGGATTTCTGGAGGTGCCAAGTACCCCTGCGAGGAAAATCGGCTAGGCTTTGGGAACTCCTGCCACGCCGCCGGACCGCTTGACACATCAATTGTGTCAAGGCTTCAATTTTGTTAAAATGACCACTATCTTGGGATAAACTCACGCCGTGAGCTCTCTTTTGCATTGAATCTAGTAATGACCTTTATTTTGTCAACCTTTCAGATCTACTACTGTAGGTGTACTGTGGATAGCATTATGCGTGATTATAGTCGGGAATTGTGGGCTGATTCGTAAAAGGCCTTGGTCCTAGAAGGCAGACAACTAAATTCTGCGTGGTCGTCAATGTGTCAAAAGCAAGCCAAAATCGTTTGTTTCATTTTTCGTTTTCAATATCTCAGGCTAGAAAAGACCAATCAGGCTCAAATCACTTTAATTTAGATATCGAGGTTTAGGCTATCGGATATATAAATCCTTGTCGCCTTCCCTCGCGATTCACGTAGTAGCGCACACTCAACATGTTACCGTACCCCAATATTTTCGCAGTATTTCACCAGTATTTCACATTTGCATAGGTAAGGAAAAACGATTATATCTTGTTTTTGAAAAAACGTTTTCATATGAAATGTCTGCTATGTAAAGAAGAAGCTGTGTCAAGCTGTCGTCAATGTGTTAAATCCTTAATTTGGAGGTCATTTAGAGTAGGATTCCTAATGTGAGCAGAGAAATAGTAGTTCTTTGTATTGAGTAGTAAAAAGAAGTAGTTAACTTACCTTTGAAACAAAGTAACATGTTTGAAAACGATCATCTCACTTAAGTGACCCTGCATTTGGAAACTTCAGATTTCGCTGAATTATTGACCATAAGGGCTAATTAACTTGCTAAGCACAAAACGATGCTCTTATGCTTTATAGATCTTTAATTATCCTTACTGTAGGCATGCGATAATGGGCCAAACATCAGTGTGCTAGTATTTTGCTGACAGGTCTATTTGACTTTGTTAACGAAAATCATGTTATCCGAACAGCGCCTTGATAACGACCCCTCTCCCCTCCCTGATTCCTCAATACGACCCCAGGTGTGGCATGCCACACATCCCACGCTTGACCCTGATTATCACTCTTTATTGAAGGACTATAAAAAGTATTACGCCTTTTTTTGCCTACTTGCGCATTCAATTCCTTGCCTGAATAAGCGCTCATAACACCTCACCCATAAATGTTCTGCAGATAATGAAGGCAGATTTGGAATCAGCATTTTATGTCCTTCAATATGGTATACATCACATCTAAAAAGGCTCCTTCGACTAAACATGCACTCCTTGTTAGATGGAAGCTTTATGACCATCTTTATATCTTGCTTTGCCCTATCGTACGTAACCCAAGCCGCATTCAAGGAAGAAACAGGACAACTACATATTTTGTGAATTTTACACTGATAGAAAAGCTGAGTTTGAGTGGCACCAGCTCTTCGTCTTGTCAAAGTACGGATCAACTTTGTAATTCGCCAAGCATGCCTGCTTTTCATTTTTCAATATTGTCTAACAGCCGTCGCGTCGACCTCACGATGCATATCACACTGTGAATCACTTAAACAGCCGATATATTTATTTTGATTTTATTTATAAAAGAACAAGTTTATAAGAGTCAAAAAAATTTTTTTATGTGAAAATGATTGCTGTACTTCGACTCCTCTACATAGGGCAAATTATGTTTCAAGCTGATCCTATATTTTAATAGAACAAGTGTCGGCTTTGATGCCGAGATACATGTAGCAAGTCGGAAGCTTGGTTTTCAAGTGTGCACCACATCCAACACCAAGAGTTTTGGGTTTGTACTTTTTGTTCGCCAATGCATTTTTCACCTAAATGCATACATTAAGTCCAAAGAGAACCTTTTCAGAGAAAGAATATGATTTTGGAGAAGTACGGCATCTTATAGCAAATTTTTTTATCAGCGAAACTAAATCTTGCCGTTTAGTACGGAGAGCGAGAGTGTTATAAAATTAAGAGTAAGATTGAAGTCGATTAGTGTCATTTACATTAAAAACTCACTTTTTCCTAGCTTTTAAGTTTTAATTGCCATTCAAGATTTCATGGTACTCTTCATCTTACTCTAGCAATTTATTAGAAGCTTTACGCTTACCTTCGCATCTACCTTCTTGTCGAATATTCTCTTGAGCTCTTGCGCCGCCTCAAGATAATCTCGATAATCCCTGCAATCACACTTCTGATGCAAGAGCAAATCAGTGAAAATAACTACTTTGAGACTTGGAACTGTATGTGAATCCCATATGGCAGATACGCCTGCCATTCGTTGTTTTTCTCAATTTCTTGGAATTTGGCCATCTTCTTCAAAAAGTCATTGTAGCACTGAAATTACATCTTTTCAGAATCCATTTCACGCTAGGTCACGGAAATATTTGCCCGATCAAGTAAAAACTAACAATTTTTAGTTTAGTTCCATTATACTTTTCCTTGAGATAATTCCTCATATATTAGGTCGTTCCGAAAGTAATGTCGCTTTTTTCAAATGAACGCCACATTTCGTGGAATCAAGATTTTCAAGAGCTCTTGGAATCAGTCGATGCAGAATTTCATCCTCTTTCCAATGGCTATAATTCCACTGCAGAATGCTCGATAAGCTTTTGAAAAATCACTAAAATCTCCAACCCATGCTTTTTGGGAAGATCAAGTTTCAGAATTTTTCTAATTTTTTGTAATAACTCCCGGAAGGAGTCCAAGTAATGGTTGGATAAAGCAAACCCTATAGGAGACGGTGCTGTTTTTTGCTGCTCTCCGTATCTCGTATAATTTTTGTAGAGATTTTTCAATAAAGTCACCGAATTTTTGCAGGCTTGTCTCAAACACATATGCATCAAACACCAATAAACTTTCGGATTCTGAAACTTACAAAGGTGGATTATGGTTTAACACTATTTTTACAAAGCATATGAGCATTTACCGCTTCAGATTAGCAACTTTCGGGAATTTGGGGGTACAGCCTGGGGCGCCCTAGAAAACCTGAATTATGACGATTTCATCCCGGAAAACTTGGTGAATCGGAAACCAAAAACAACTGGTAGAAAGAGGAGAAAAAGCTGCATCTATGACACTCGAGTTGCTTGCCGATTGTTGTTCTGTGAGGTCTGAGTTGACCAAATATGGAATTTGATAGCACTGAAAAATTGGTTCTACAAACTCCAAGAAGCAAACTAAGGAAGAAGAAAAAAATTGTTTTGTGTCCTATAGGGTTTGCTCTATTTATTTGTGACTTGCACATCTTCG